TTGACTGTTCTCCACCAGGTGTATATCCACTTGAACTACTGCCGACTGCATTAGCAGGCTTGTATTGTTAATTGCAACAAAAGCGGGTATTTTAAAATAGTACTCTTTATTTTACGCGTATCTCAACAGTACTTCCATATATATGGGTCGCGACCGAAAGCTGGGTTCAAAAAATACCTAAAAGTTATTGGTTTTTTATTTCCTAGTAAATTTGGTTCTTCCGTAGTTTGTGCAACAAAATGGCGCACATCCTGAACATAGTATTGTAACACGTTTGGTTTCAGGTTGTGCGCCATTATGGTGCACAGATTTGATGAAAAACACTAATACAAATATCAAGCCGTAAAAAAAATTGCTCAAGGCTGCAAACTCCCCACCCATGCAGAAATGATGGGCAATAACCTCAAGATGAATAATCACAAATAAAAAAACTTTATGTGTTAAAACAAGGTTGGGCCCAAAAAAGCCCCTTATCTGCCGGACTATTAGGGCTGGAAGAGAGTTTGTCCTTGGTTGTCCTTGTAAAACGTAGTATTGATCGTAAAACTGTTTTACTGTGCAAAGTGTTTCTTATATTTATTGTTAATATAAGTTGGTGATGTCAAGTAAGTTTTGAAGACCCGTAACTCGAGGTAGAGAAAAAAACATCAACGAAATGTTTCAGCTTTTAAATACATTCTCATTTATTAGAAAATACAAATCACGTATTCAACAATATGAAATCAAAATCACACGTGATTCCTTAATCGATTCGGAGCATATAATTCAAATTGGGAATCACCCACCCGAGAAACTTTGTGTGCTGGTGATAATTATGAACTACGACTGAGAGGGTACTTCCGACACTTCTGGAGTGCCGTTTATCGTATCAAAAGCAAAAATGATTACAGTCGAAAAGTATAAACGATGAAAGGACGCTGCTCACCGACTCTTGTTTTGCGAAAGTTTTCTTGTCATGACGTAGACATCTACCCCATATGGCAGAGAAAAGCATGCGGTATTTATCAACTTCACTATTTCAAATCCCTTAATTTTATACAAAGACACGGCGACTGGCTGTGTGATAGAAATGGCTTTTTACCTCATTGAAGCAGCGTGATCGAGTGCGTGCTTCCCTACCCTTGCTCCTATTTTTATCGATCTTCAATCGATTAATACATATAACCTTCTACGACAAAGACAAATGATTAAAGCACTCTGACAGCCCGAGTAATGCGTTATTTTGGATGGGTTTCTTCAAAGCGGTTTCTGCATACGACGTTGCAAATATATATTTGTGATACAAGTGTTTCCATATATTTACATGGGGCAGAAAATAAAGTGTCGATTTTGGGTATTTAGCGTACGCCCACCGCTCCAGCTAATAATTGTGTGAATTATTTCATTCAATATTTTCTATAGTGTACTCAGGCCATCAATTTCAAAGGCTTCAAGCTTGTGGCATGTATTACACCTAAAACGTGCAATTTAAATCACATGTTGAATCAGAATACTTTGACTAATAATTATTGCATTACATAGACTTTAATTTTGCTTGGTGTATGGGAAACGAATTTTTTTAAATATTCGTAAATTCTGAATAATAGTTTCATTACGACACAGACTTAGCAAAGCTATGTCACAATTGGTAAAGATAGGTATAGTACAACATATGTGTGTGTGAATCAAAGGTGAATAGAGTTTTACTTACTCTCAGGGAAATTATTGCCACTATATATACCGTCGCCAAGTATGGGGAGTCAGTCGTTTCCAGAAGATCGATGGATTTTGTCATCTGAGTAACGCTGGAAATGCATTTAAAATATAAGTTTATCATTAACCAACGGTGAATAAAGTGTTATTTACGTAAAGCGCCAGTCAATAATGACATACAATAGTTAACTCCCAATCCTTTTGCAGATATCCCACTTACCGTATTACACATTTGGCAATATTTTTAAATGAAAGTTTTTTTTGTATTGACAAGGTATCGAACTTGTGATCTTTTTCATTATAAAATACGATCGAACCCTACAATCCCGGATGGCCTACATCCGGTAGTACAATGTATGATTCATGCACATCCATCTCTAAAAGGTATTATTGGCCTTTTACAGTTATTGTTCCATAGTTTAGTAATATACTTCACGAAAAAGGCACTCCAGCTTCGCCTAAAATGCCAGTTCTATAAATAGCATCAATTTCAAAATCGCTAGTCAGACATGTAAAATCACTGATGTGACTCAGACGGGAAATGAACTACAATACCTCCTTTATAATGGCTTAGTATTGGTTTATCATGTATTTTCAGTCATAAATTCCATCTCTGACCTTGTGATATTTTGAAAAATATAATTTCGACTGCACCATACTTGTATAGGTATACCATACTTGGTGTAGGTATAGAGAATTTTCAAATGTGTAAAAACGTAAAATTAATAGTAATTTTCACGCGTAACGGCGAGCATTGGATTGTTTACGTCTTTCTACGCGGATTTCCGTCAATAGAAGTAACATTTTTTACATTGAGGAGGATTTGTGCAGTAATAATGAGGTGTGACGTCATCAAAATTGCCAATTGAAGCGTTGAACTTGAAAGTTCTGTAAATACAATTGTGAATTTCAGAATAAACATTTATGCTATAATAGTCGTTTTGGTATTGTTCTGTTGGTAAAAACTTCAAGAAAACGGTGAAATAAAATTAATTAATTAGGAATAATTATTAACCCTTTACTGGACACAAAATCTTTCAAAATCAAGGTTTTTTATCAAAAATTTTAGAAATTTTGTCGCGTAGAAAAAATATTATTAGAAGAGTGTGTTTTAAACATATATTGCTAAATAGAACTCTAGCACACGCTATTAAAAAGTCATAAGTGAAGCTTTAGGCCTCAATGGTTGACAAAAAAAATATTTTGAAAATAACCTACGTAAAATGGTCCCAGAGCGAACGGTGGAGTAAGGTTGGCATTGCGTTCAGGAAAGGTTCGGAATCGAATCAAAATAGTGTAGTTTCCTGTGACTAACTCTTAATAGTCTGACATCCTGCTTTCGGCCTACATAAGCTTACGCGACTAATGTGGGTTGCAGATAATCGAGATAACGACTTGAGTACAAAATGGCGTAAGATGGTTAGCTGCACTGAATATGGGAGAAAAGTCGAGACCTAACTTATGTAAAAGATGACGTGGAATGGTTAAATGCACTAAACATGGGGCAAATTTAGGGATATATTAGTGTTGTAATAAACAAATTTTCTGATTGAGATATTTCACTTTGTTTGTGATGTTAGTGATGATGATCATAGATGGTTTAAATATGGCTCAAGCTCTAATAAATAATTAGTGATCGAGACAGACAGACAGTTTATAGAAAAATACTTTCTTATTTTTCATTCAGGATGCAATATTTTGAACATAGTTGACAATGACAGGGTTTTTGAAACTGTGTCATTGGTTCCCCTAAAAGGGCTATGGAGTGATACTGTGCGGTGGTCACTACTAAAACACCCATAAAAATGCTCACCAGGGATTACATTGTCACAGATCATTCTCTTACGAAATCGTGCGTTCTAAAGTTAACGCAAGACAGCTAAAACAGTGACGCTTGAGTCGCAAATGATTGATCCCAACCGGAAGTACATGGAGTTGAAAAAAAAATGTTTGTGATTTATTGATGACGCCATCGCACTTCTCAGATGACGTCAACAGGTGTATCAGATGACGTCTTAATTTATCCTCGACTCAAAATCCCATAGTATGATTGACATCTTCATTACACAACGACGAAAACGAACGCTGGTTAAGTGGTCTTGCTTTTGTGTAATTGACACATTTTATAATACATGTCTAAAATCTTCCTGGATGGTTTTTAATTAAATCACGTTCTAATTTATTTTTCTTCATTAATTCTTCCAATAAAACTTTTAGGCAAATAACACATTTTGGCTGGCTCGTTATTTCGGTAAAACCTATTGAAATTGAAAAAAGGTTTATTATATAATCATTTTTTTTATGTTTATTAGACATTTATCAATATAAAGGTATCCTGGAAAATGAAGTTTTGCAGTAAAATCAACAGTCATAATACATTACAGTGAAAACACAACAACGGTTTACTTTAAAAATTGCATTATTGCCGTTACACCATAGCCTCATTATAAAAGATATCACTCCAATTCAATGTATCCAAACTTTATGTATAGCGCTAGTCAGCTCAACAGTATAAATCGCATACAATAGAATAATAAAAGGAAAAGACAACGCCGGACACTCGGCGAGTGGCCTAAGGTTTGGCATTTCGAATATCATGTAATTTCAGAATCGAATATTTTTTTCGAAGCGAATCTCGAATACTTGGAAATATATAAATGTAATCGACTTTTTCATTGTAATTGGTCTCCTTAACAAATGAATTACTGAAGACATAGAATACATCACTGAGATAAATTACTGAGCGTTCACACACAATTACAAACACGTTTTATCAATAACTTACTACAGGAAAAAGTCTTATGTGAGAATTACGTTGGAAAAGTATGACTTCAGTGTAAAAAAAATTGGGGAATTCACTTCGACCATTGGCAAAAAGAAAAAAACAAGATGGCAAGGATTCGAAATTTTTCTCTGGACCGATTCGAATAATTTACTATTCAATTCAAATATTCGATTCGAAATGCCCAGCCCTATGACGGCAACCCAGAAATATTTACCAACTTGGGCCTATTTGGGGTTGCGACTCACACTTTGGTCACCAGTGCTTGCTCCAACGTACAATAACTTTTCATCGTCTCAGTTTGATCTCTAAAACTCCTCGACTCCTTGCGCTTCTGCGTACCACTCAAGGAAATTATGATACGAAATTATTTAACTAGCAACAACGTAAAGAAGTGAACATGAGGTTGTTGAATTGGAGTTAGTTGGTAAAACTAAGATTCGACTCCTCCGATGGTGTAAGGATTTCTCTCCTTCATAAAATAATTTATCACTGTTGATATTTTGAGCAATACTTCCCATTTATCATGAAAGTTCTTTCTAGATTTATTTAGACTAATTTAAAAGTTGAAGGAACAAACTTCGAAACATGTGCTCCGGTTTTCAATGGACAGTCGATGGCTTCGATATTCGAATTCGTGCATTGGAACGTGATGACATCCCGGAAGTACGTGGTATAATCACCAAATGTCTGTATAAGCTACTGTTTACGGCATTCGAAGCAATAATTGTGAAAAACTGGCGAATACAGGTAATAAAATGATTGTAGTACTGTGATGAAGTTTTAGATATTTCAACGTGTAAAGACTGAATACCGATTGCAAATTTATAGGATTTTACTTTGGAATGGTTTCGTTTTAAACATGGTTCCACAGCATGCCTCACAGTTACTGTCTAACAAATGCATTAATAAATGATAAATTATGAATTAAAAGTATAAGCTACAAGTTAGCAAACAGTTTTCTAAAATTGCATCGTTCATATTCAGATTGTTCTGTCAGGATTATCCGTGTTTCTTCTCAATTACAGCGGCTACGATCTGCAATATATAGCTGTTTTCGTCTCTTTTCAAATGTTTCTTTTAACTTTACCAAGTAAGTTTGTTTCAAGTTTACGCGGTAATATTATAGGGATAATGTTGTTATTTTTGTGATATTTCACTGTTGTGTTTTAAATTAATAATATTAAAGGAAGTAAAACCAGTTAGTTAAGACTTTTCAGAATTATAAACCTCTTTAACTTGTTTTGCTACTGGACAGAATTGATTTAAATAGCCCCAAGCCATATCACAATGACTAATTAGTTTTAATATAATTCATTTCTGTCACATAATCGAATAGATTATCCGGTTAGATCATTCTGTTGCTTTGCGATCGCATCCTTTCGGATCGAAACTTTGCCTCGTTAAAGTGTCTCCCAGCCTGGTTGACGGCAGAGGAAACGTCTCTCCCCAATTAACAAATTAGCCTGAAATATACCTTCTATGATATAATATCACATATAACTCGATCCATGTATAGTTGAATTATTAATTTGATTGTCGAACGATTGTTGACTAAACCGGGAGCAGCGGTGAACTAGGTTTTGCTTGCGTCTTATTGATATCGTAGATCCTCTGACAATTTAATCAAAAGATGATTTTTTAGATTTGTTTTTGTACTGGTTTTATTTCATCTATATACCATGCTATAAAAAGTTATATAGATATGACTATGCTAACACGAACAAAATTATTAATCGATAAATATAATAGTTGCCATTACGTTATTTTTGCAATTAGATGCAGTTTCGTTCTACCGCTTCTTTGCGCCGGGAATAACAAAGTTCAAAAAGGAAATTGTCAACGCAGACAAGACATACGTGAACTTTTGGGTTTCCGAAGTTTTCAAAGATGGTCAATGGGAAAAAGTTGGAACAGCAGCTCTGCAAGACGCAGATAAACGACAAAAGCGTGGATCTCAAACTGAAACTATAATTTTCCTGAGGGTAAGTGCAATGCATATTGTATAGAATTCCTTATAACTTTCGAACATATCTGTAATATTTTCGAATTTTCGAATAATTTAAAAACGATTCAATACACTAGAATTAGGATGTAAATTTTCCAAATAGACCATTCGCGATTACATTTATTTCTTACTACAAGTTTATTTTTGAACTATGTTACGATTTGAATATTTGTTTATTCATTTTGAGGGTTCATTTTGAGGGTTAAAAAAAGTTAATATTTCATACGTTTTATGTCTTATTGTAAATGTCTGTAGTAAAAACAAGCAATAAACGCTTATTAGTATCGTCAGAAACTGTCCGAAATATATAGAGCATCGATTTGAAAATGTTGAGTCAGAGCCCTGTAAAGTGAGCTCCCGAAGTATGTGAACGAAGGTGCTCTTACTTGGTGCACGTACTTCGGGAGCACCCGGAACAGCTGGTATGAATAACTTATAACCCAAATAAGAATCACAGCGGATAACTTCCTTATAACGACTTTGCATTTCATCCTTGGCAACGTAGTGTTTTCAGAAATAAGAAGATCCACCTCTACCATGCATGGTGGTGGGGTGAAAATGTAAATAATTATAGAACGTAAAAGCATTCGTCAATGTCGCTTCGACAGCACACACTGGGTTGTTTATGACTTGAAACGCCAAATATGTTCGACAATTATTCGCTGATTTTTAAAGCCTTTATAAAATAATAATAAAATCGTCAAGTCAATTATCAAATTTGCTAATTCCGTAAATACAATCATGAATTTCTCGGGAATTTTATAGCTTGATAATGGTTTTGGTATTGTTTTGTTGGAAAATACCTCTAGAAAACGATCAGGTCAAAACTAATTACTTATAATTAGTTCCTTAATCACCTTCTATCAGACGCAATAACACTCAATTTCTAAGTTGCTTTCTTCAAATATTTGGACATAAGGTCGCATACGTAAAATAATATTGGGCGCGCTTTTTGCGCCATCTCGCTGAAAAGAACTCTAGCATACGCTTTCAAAAGCCATGGGTGCCATTTTAGGGCCTAATGGTTGACGATAATGATAAATTTGGGGAGAGACCGTACAAATGACCTAAGGAAGCTCGGTTGTACAGGGAATATATATGGCATGTACGCTCGTGACGCATATACTTGGAAATAACATCACTGATGTATTTTATTTCTAAAATCCTGTCGGAGAGCGGACAGTTGCATTGAACATTAAAAATTTGTTTACTGAAAATTTATTTTAAGTGCAAAAAATTCGAACCTTTTTACATCGAAGGCCTGAGAAGGCTATATACAGCGTGGCACAAAAGTAGGTATAGAGTAATTATTTACAAAATGTATCACCTTCCAAGCAGCTAGAAAACTAATGTAAAATTCAAAAATAAGCAATTTTTGTGGTACTCAACAAGTAACATAAAGTGAACTGCAAGTAGCTCCAAAGCATATGGTTAACGTTAAGCTGGTTAACGTTGAATTTAAACCAAAGCTTAGATGTAATAAAGCAGAACTGTACGATTTTGTCTTTCGATATATTTGGGTTGAGATTCTAGAATTAGGGCCATTGAGTCATCTATATCACAAATATTATATCGCGAAAAATAATGCCTTGTGGTCATTTTCAACATATTTGAACATTTATATTTGTTGTAATTTGTTACAGAATGTATCAGTATCTCCCACATGGAGATGCAAAAAAATTGGAACGATGATGTTGAAGCACGCTCTCAGTCATGCTATTTCGATGAAGTATAACACCATTGTTCTTCATATTACCGAGGAGCAACCAGAAGCCATGTCTATGTATAAAAAGAATGGCTTTGAAATAGTCGATAAGATAAACGCGACATGTTTTTCTCTACTCTCTGGAGTACATGTCTACGTCATGGCTAGAAAACTCCCATGAAAGCAAGATTAATGTGAAAAACCCTTACAAAGTGTGTAATTGACGATTTTAATGATTTTTCATTTGATACAATAAATTACATTCGCCCTTAATTGCTAAATCTTACTATCACACAATGTTTCTAAATCGTTCTGTGAACATTTGCCACGAAATGCTTACAAAAAGATGTAGAGTGATTAGGATCCCCTACAAAAATGTGTTGTTTTACAAACCGATTGCTAAAATACGATTTACACTTACAATTTTAGTGATGTACTGAGCCCTGTGATTGTACATAATTTTGTAAATATATATATTAATATTATATTTTGTAAATATAATTTTGTAAACATAATCCGGGCAATTTCGAAGCAATTGATGGAAATCGACCAATTTATAATCGAATACAAAATTCATCTAATCAATGGGTTAAAGTAGGGGTTCCCAAACCGCGGCCCGCGGGTCAAATACGGCCCGCGTAACGATTTAAAATGGCCCGCCAAGCTTACGTGAAATATTTTTCAACAGATTTTATTTCTACCTTTTTGCGATCTAGATACCGCTAATTTATGTCATTATCAGAGTTCAAGCACGTGTTTATCGTAACAATTCAATTATACCAGTATATATATCAATTATGGGTACCGGTGTTAGGATTACATAGGGCAGTAATTTAGTTATCAGCCATACAGGAAAGCTTAAAGATGACAGAGATCAAACGAAAACTAGATTCAGTAAACTAACGTTTCTTGGATAAATGGCAGTGTTCTATTTCTCCATTGAAAAGTATCAAACTTTAGAGATTAGTCTTCTTTGCCAACGAACTATTCCAGTTGTGAAGGAATACAACATTAAGTGCCATTATGAGTCAAACAAACATGTTTCAAAAAAATGTCAAATGAAAGTGAATCCACTTTTGGGCGCTACATTCTTCCGGCCCGCGAACATCTTTCCGATTCTAATTTTGGCCCGCGGCCAACAAAGTTTGGGAATCCCTGGCTTAAAGAATACTCTGGTGAATACGTTAATAGGATGAAAGAAAAGCCAGCCATTTTTTCTTTTGAAATACTTACACAGAACATCAAGAAAGACTTTAAGTTAAATACGACACTCGACGACACAGATTCCATGCTGAGTGTTCAGATAGTTTCTGTATCATCGTAATTATAAAAGACTATCAGAATAGATTTACTCTGCACAATTGTCAGAACAAAGATTTTGAATGAAACATTTTTTCAAGTGTATCATGTATTAATGAGAATGATAATCTTTAAACAACAACTAGTTACTAATTTGTATTTTATCTATTCGGTTTTATTAGAAATCATACGCATGTTTTCTCTCGCATGATTTTCTTGTTTTAAATAAGAACTATAACCGAATTGTGACTGGTGGTTTGCAATCGATTGCGTTACCAAGAATTACATGTTTGGCAGAACTGCTATAATCGATTCATTCGACTTGAAATTCGACTAAGATTTGACGTTTGATAAACAACCCTCGTTTGTCTCGAAAAACATTATGTGGTTCACTTGAGTCGCAAATGACTAATCACAACCGGAAGTATATGCCAGTAGTGCGACATTGAATTTGAACCAAATGTCATTCTTAATGCACGCATCGGTTTAGACGTCGAATTACATCAAATGAAATAAATTTAAATTTGTTCGTGCTTTTGTGAGATCGTCACGTTTATCAGATGACGTCACTACCGTGACCAATTCCATCGTATGGTACACTATAGATAGTTTGGATATTAACGACTATATGGTATACACTTATTGTCATCATCGCCCGAGGCGCTGTATGGGTAACACTCCATAGAGCGGAAATTCTTGAAATGAAGAGGTAGCGTTTCGTTAAAAATCTGGGTTGCAGATTTGAGAGTAAAAATAACATTCTATTGTACATCAAACAGAATTTTTTTTTTTTTTCAAGAAGCTACAGAATAATTCACAATATATATCGTAAAACTATAAAAAAAAATGCAATGCTCAAATGTATGAACACGAAGACCAAGATAAAATCCTCCTGTTGAGATTTGAAAAGTTGTACACTTGGTTCTTTTATATACACATATTGTATACAAAGATATAATTCTAGCAATGTATTTCACACGGATCCATTGCGCCCTCGGCAATTCACGCTATAGGATATAGCGCTCGTATATTCTATTTTTGATAAAGTTTGATCTTCTTTTTGCGTAGAAAAATGCCAATGACGCACGTGTGCGTAGCAAATCCTATTTTAAGTTATTGCTGGGTGAATTGAAGTTTGAAACTTTTCTTCACATGCTTTTGTTATTTTAAATCATGATGTGATACATTTAACTTTTCGCTTGTCCGCTTCGTTGAATACAAGGGTCTCAATTCTCAGTGATACTAACAGTGGTGTAAAGCAGTGATTCCCTTAGTGGGCGAAAAGCCGAGGGTGGCGACAGGAGGGCGATTTCGCAAAACCTATTTTTGTTCGGCGGCTAGCGCATATGCATATGCGGAGTAAACTAATCCGGCCCGCGACTCTTCACTGAATTATAACGAACAAACGGCGGTTTTGACGGCGAATTAATTTCATAATCTACGCTCGAGGAGTAGATTATATTTATCGTGACACACGTTTAGACTAAATAATATTATAACCTAACAATTTAAAGAACAGCTAGCTACTCGTTTAACGAGCCTACAGCTTAATTATAATTAGACAAATAGCAACACGCAGAAAAGTTGATGATGACTGCAGGGATTCAAAATCGCAGAAAATATTTCAACGGATCTCGTTGAGATGCGATGCAATAAGGAAATAAAATTCCTATTCTATTTGAGAGATGCATCACTGCTTGATTTTTATAAGAATGTATCTTTTTAAAAAAAATCTCTATCAAAATTTGACAAACCATGCAAAAAAATTCCCTTCCATGTTTGAAAGTAGACTACATATGTGCGTGAACAATTATTTCCAAAAATGAAACTAGGATTAGATATGCCCATTTAGAAAATGTTCCAATCTTGGCTTCATTCAGTGGGCCGCCGTTGTCAAAAAGCTATTAAGTGTGATGCAGCAACAAGACGGTGTCCAAGTCCATGAATCTGAAACAAATAAATGGCTGGTTAATCAAATCTATGAAATGGTTTAGTATTTTTTTTTGGGGGGGGGGAGGGGGGGGGTGCTGAAAGAAACCTAGCTATCCAGGCGATCAAAATATTAAAGTGTTGGACGATGTGCACTATCGTGACTAACATACAATAAAATATATATAGATTGGAACGATACGATTGGTTTTATAATATTGGACAAAGGATATTCGGATAGAATAAGCATATTATGTTTCTCAATAAAGTTTGTCCAATGTGTACTTTCGGTTTGTGATAAAATAAACTATTGGTTGACTATCAATTGTACAGATGCTGAAGCTATTGATGTTTCAGTAGTCAGTCATATCTTCGATCGGGGTTGAGTTGTTTATATTTATAACTAAATGCGAGCGTAAAATTGAAAAATATATAAAATAAAATGAAAAAAACTTGAAATAAAAGTAAAATAAAAAAATAGCTGTGAAAAACATGAAAAAAATTTGAAAAAAATTAAAAAAAATAAAAATAAAATGCAAAAAAAAAATTAAAAATACAACGAAAATAAATTCAAGCAGCATTCTCCAATTCAATTACCTTCTACAAGTAAAAACAAATTTTTGAATTTTCGTATTCAATTCTATATTCTCTTATCATTATTTCGAATATATATATTACTTCTAGTTGAATTTGTATCTTGGAGAATTTGAAGAACATTTGCATATTAAATTTATAGAATATTGCTCAAAAAAATCAGTAATGAGTTGAGTAATGAAACTCAGGGAACACCGTTTGTGCGCGTAGGATTATGCATGACAACGTTGGTCCCAAGCCGAAGCAAATTTTCTCAAAATAAAAACGCGTGACAACGATGGGCCACGAGGCAGTAGTGAGTTAGAAATCCAGGGAACACCGTTTATGCGCGTAAGATTATGCATGACAACGTGGTCCCAAGCAGAGGCAAATTTTCTCAAAATCAAAACGCGTGACAAGGATGGGCCACGAGACGGCCCATCGTTGTCAACCTTTTTATTTTCTTTTTATTCACATTTTTTTTTTAATTTTTTTTTTCAATGTTTTTTTGATTTTTTTATTCGGTTTTTTATTTTATTTTCGTTTTTATTTTTAATTTTTTTTTTTTGCATTTTAATTTTATTTATTTTTTTTTATATATTTTTTCATAACTATTTTTCATTTTACTTTCATGTTAAGTTTCTTATTTTTTATTTTTTCAATTTTACGCGTGACAACGATGGGCCACCATACACGACCCAGACCTAGGTGTCGCTACACATGCTTTAAGCATATTCTCATTATTTTACTCGAAACAAGATAGCGAGTTCTCAAAGATCATGCAAATTGCATAACGTGATAATAGCAATTTAGACATACCAAGGGCACCTACGTATTATTAACATGGACACTATATTGGCGAGCTCCAGGTTACATAAATCAAACGTTTGACTTTCCAGAACCAAACAAAAACACGCTTGCTTGGTCTCAAGAGTTTATTTGACCAATTCACAACTGAGTGTTTTATCTTTTAAACACAGGCTCATCTATTAGAACTTACAAATCAGATATTCAACAAAATAAAATCAATATTACACGAAGTTTCTGGATTAATTCGGAAACATTTTAATCAAATTGGACATCACTCGCTCGAGAAACATTGGGTGCTAATGAAAATTATAAATTACTACTGAGAGCAGGTCAACGGGTACTTCCGTAGTGTGTGTACCAATTTGGGGTTAGGCTATAATTTTATCCGGATTTTTTTCATTTTAGTTCTATTACGAATTTGGGATATGTTTTGTGTTAGCCTTGTGAATATCCCCCTGCTCATAGGCCTCCATCTCCTCACAAAACTTGATGTGAAATAGGCCAACAAAATTAGTCACCCCCATATTGGTACACACACTTCTGGAGCGACGTTTGTCGTATCCAACGCAAAAATAATTGAAGTCGAATATTGCACACGTTGAAAAGACGCTTCACACTGACTCTTTCTTCGCGTAAGTTTTCTTGCCATGACGTAAACATCTACCACGTAGAGCAGAGAAAAGCATGCCGTATTTATAAAATTCATTATTCCAAATCTCTTATTTTTATCCAAAGACACGACGGCTGATTGTGTTTCATTAACTTGGAGAGCAATGGCTTTGTATCGAAACAGCTTGATCGAGTGCGTGATTCATCATTTTATTCTTATTTTCATCAATCTCCAATCGGCTAATACATATATCTTCTATAAGAAATACAAAATGATTAAAGCACTCCGATAGCTTGAGTACGACGTTATTTTGGAAGGGTGCTTTCGAAGCGGCTTCTTTATACCACATTCAGTGATCCAAGACTTCCTCAGACTTAATTAGTTCAACTAAGTCTAACTCTGTTTGCTTTGTCTTTGTCACACGTTGAGAACATATATTTGTGATACAAGTATTTTCACGGATTTCAGGCAGAACATGGGTCAGAGATCAAAGTTTCGATTATCGGTATTTCAGAGTTTACCCACCGCCCCAGTTAATATTTGTGAAATTATTGCATTTAATAACCACTATTGTGTCTTCAGATCTCCGATTTCAAAGACCTTGTGGCAGAATAACATAATTTGCCCTTGAAACTACTCCTGAAACTTGTAATTTAAATCGAATTGTGAATCAGAATGCTTTAGCAAAAATCATTGCAATACATGGTCTATGATTTTGTTGGGCGTATGGGGGGAACAAATTGTTTAAAATATTCGTAAATTCTAAAATCTAATTTGATTCGGACACAGACCGGAACGTAGTATGTGCACCAGGTTAGGTACAAATACTACAGGAGTCAAATGGCTAATCCCCGAACTCGTAATAGAACTAAAATAAGGAAAATTGTGATAAAATTATGGCCCACCCCCAACCTGGTACACATAGTACGTTCCGGTGTCCACCATCTTGGTACGTATACGCCAGGTGTAATCTAGTTAAATTATTTAATTATTTTTACTGGAACTACTTGTATTTGCCAATTGCTCCCAATTAATGCTTTCAATATATTAAAAAGTGTTTTATACAAACAGCCGAGGATCATATCACGTACTTCTGATATGTCATCCTGTTCCAACTCACGAATTCGAAAGTCAAAATCATCGGCAGACCATTAAACATGGAGCACATCTTAATGCATATGATGCATGTACCAATTTTACCAAGAAATCCATTTGTCCATATTTGCCATAAAATTTCATATCATTAGAAAAGGACTCCATGATACAGACTGGATGAAAAAGGCCTACTCGCTAAATGAGTGGTTCTCAAACGGCGGAACGGTCGTTTTGGTTATTTACTTCGTTCCATCCACGTATTTTCAACGTGTTTTTGTAATAATGCATACTTCCGCCATACTGTCTTGCTATTTGTAGGTTTTTTTTTAAGGAGGGGCGCGAAACTTGACAAATTTCAATTTTAGTTACATTTATTTTGACTGTTCTCGTCATCATCTGATATATTTTTATCTATTTTTTTACTTTTTGACTCAACTATCACTCTATAAGCCCTGGTATAAATCCTTGACTGGTGATCAGCTTACATAAAGAAGCGCATAAAACAATAAAGGCATAAAACAAATTTGAAGACCGGCCACCGCATATTTCTGTTATTTTTTTCAGTCCTTAGGGTTACACAACTCCTATGATACTAGAACGACTACCTACCAGAAGGTCAAAAGTTGATAACCTTTTGGGACTAATGGTCGATATTATACAGTCATTTGATGATTTGAGGTTATCAACCCATGACCCTATAGCTGATGTATTGTTTGATTAATAAGTTTTTATAGCGATATTATGCTTCCCAAGCATCGACCCAGTATGTTTCGTTAATAATGAACAACCGTCTTCAATACATCTCATGCAAATATTTGATTTTTATGTTAATTTAAAATGAACTATGGGTCAAAATGTCTATGGATTCAATAAATTAAAAATTACAGATAAAAAGTGACAGACTGCCTTGTTCACATATTTTATGTACATATGGTGTAAAAGTTGATGAAGCTATAACATATTATGCTACCCGGGCGTCGACCTAGTATATTTTTTCGTGAACAAACAACAGGGTTTGATTAATCTCTCTAATATATCCACTGTGTGTAAACTTTAGAGTAGGAGTGTGACCTACAACCCGGTTGATTTAATAGGTTGGTAAAGCAATAACATATTGTGCTCCCAAAGCGTCAACCTAGTATGTTTTTTTAGAATGTAACAACCGTCTTTATCGAATTTCTTTAATATATCTACTCTGTGTAGACTTTATACACGCAACAAAGGAATTTGTTCAATATCATTTTGCTATTGAAGACACACAATTTTTAATTCTTTAAACGTCCTAACTACTGAGAGCAGTTTATCGTGAAGAAAACAAAAATGTTAACGTCGAAAATTACAAACGATGTAAGGACGCTTCACAATGACTCTTGTTTTACGAAAGTTTTCTTGCCATGCCGTAGACATCCACCCCGTGAAGCAGCGAAAAACATGCCGTATTTATCACATTCACTATTCCAAATCCCTTCTTTTTATATAAAGACAGGGCGGCTGGTTGTGTTTCATTAACTTGGAGAGTAACGGCTTTATACTTCATCGAAGCAGCTTGATCGAGTGCGTGTTTCACCATTCTTGTTCCTATTTTCATCGATCTCCAATCAGATAATACATAAACTTTCTGTAACGAATAGTTGATAATAATTGATTAAAGCTTGAGGTAGCTTGAGATAGCTTGAGTACGACGTTACTTTAGGAGGGTGCCCCCAAAGCGGCTTCTTTATACCACATTCAGTGATCCAAGAGTTTTGTTGCACACTAACACAAATATATTTCTATAACGTTTCGTGTGACCAAGGTCAGACTTTCTCCGACATAATTAGTTCAACTAAGGTTACCCTGTTTGCTTTGTCTTGGTCACACGTTGAGAACATATATTTGTGATACAAGTGTTTCCACAGATTTCAGGCAGAAACATAGGACAGAAATCAAAGTTTCGATTATCGGTATTTCAGAGTTTACCCAGCCCCCAGGTAATATTTGTGAAATTATTGCATTTAATAACCACTATTGTGTCTTCAGATCTTCAAATTCAATTGACACTTGAAACTTGTAATCAAGTTAAATGTAAATAAATCGAATAGTAATTCAGAATGCTTTAGCAAAAATCATTGCAATAGATGCTCTTTGATTTTGTTGGGTGTATGGTAAACGGATTGTTTATTCGTAAATCTAATTTTATTCGGACACAGACTCAGCAAATCTATGTGAAAATCAGGAAAAACATGTATAGTACAACACATATATATGTGTGTGGATTGAAGGTAGACTTAGCATATATCAGAAACAAAAAAATAGGACAGTGCGGATCGGACAGACCTTGATTCGATTCCAAGGGTTCAGTCAGGGATAAATTAAATAAATGCTTCTGTTATAAAAAAAATTGTTCGTTATTGCATGACCGGGATATTTATGTCCACCGAGTGTGACGCAGGGACGGCTCGCCAAAACCGGGACGTATGCAGTGGTGGGATTCAGCTGGTTCGCACCGGTTCTATAGAACCGTCTCACGGAATTTCATGAGATCAGCGAACCGGTTAGCATTACTGGTTACTGTCAATATTCTGTTTGTAACAGAACCGGCTGAAAAATATATCTTTTGTGAAGGAACCGGCTGACAAAAAAATTGACGTATGGTAAGCCTAATTGAAGGAGAATAGAGTTTGACCTACTCCCAAGGTAATTACTGTCCCAATTGGAAACCCACATCTTTCTAATTGATCTGCTTCATGCAGCCCTGCTGTTCCTATTTTTTTCCATTGACCATCTTTGAAAACCTCGGAAATCCAAAACTTCGCGTACGTCTTGTCTGCGTTGACAATTCTCTTCTTGAACGCTGTTCTTGAACGCCCGGTACAAAAAAACGGTAAAACGATGCTGCATCTATTCATAAAATGAAGATAAAAAAGGCAAGCATTATATTCATTCCATGCTAATTTTGTTTAGTGATCTAAGAGTCTTGCTACACATTAAAACAAAAATATGTCTGTAACATTTCGTCTGACCGAGGTCAGACTTTTCCAGACATAGGCTACAACATACTTCAACTAGGTCTAATTTTATTTGCTTTGTCTTAGTCATACGTATTTCATTTTAATATTTAATAGTACAATGATGACGTAAAATGAAGAAACAATGACTCAAACCAGGTGTGAAATACCAGATTATACCAGATTTTTTTATGAAATTCGTGATTTGACAATCATACGACAAATGATAGTTAACAAATAATACAATTACACCCAAAAACTCACTTGTGAAAGCTAACAGAAATATTTGAACAGAGACGAAAACAGCTATATACTGTGCGTCGTAGCCAATGTAATTGAGAAGCAACACGGACAATCCTGACAGAACAATCTGAATATAGTTTAGTCACGTTAAGATTTTAGTAATTGTTTGCTTAATGGCAGTTTTTCTGCACTGTTATTGACGCTCTAGCAGACGTACGTGTGCCAATATAAAGGTAACTAATTTTGTTCGCCTACTTTACATCGAGTTGTGTAAAGGAACTGAATCCTATGGACTGGAGGTATATTTACTAACACAGACAATCCTCAAACTCGTAATAGAACTAAAATAAGGAAAATTGGAATATAATTATGGCCTAACTAAATCTGGTACACATACTACTCCTCTTCCATCAACCATGCATTTATCATACGCGATTGCTGTTCATTGTATAAAAACGTGCTAATAGCGAAACGGCATATTTCGTTACGTAGAATTGAATTGAATTAATTTTAGAATTGAAGAAAGTATTTGAGAAGTTTTAGCAGTTTTAACTGCAAACATTTTAAATTGAAATGGTGGAGAAATAGAAAATTTTACAGTGGTATTGATTTATTTGACAGTCAGTTATATGACACTATATTATAATACTATATAAATTATTTAATTTTCGGCGCTCCAAAAGTGTGTGTACCAATATGGAGGTAACTAATTTTGTTTGGCTACTTTACATCAAGTTGTATGAAGGGACTGAAATCTATGGGCAGGGGGTCTATTCACTTGACTAACACAAAAAGTCGTAATAGAACTAACGTAATCGTAAACTCGTAATAGAACTAAAATAAAATAAAAATCGGAACAAAATTATGGCCTAACCCAAACCTGGTACACATACTAAGTGAGTACCCAATTTTCTTCATTGGAGTTACCTGTATTCGCCAATTTTTCCACATTAAAGCCTTTAATGTATTAAAAAGTGTTTCATACAAACAGCCGAGGATCATATCACGGACTTCTGGTATGTCATCCTGTTCCAACTCACGAATTCGAAAGTCAAAACCATCCACTGACCATTTAACATTGGAAGACATCTTTAAAAACCTTAGTGCATAATTTATAACGCATAAACCAATTTTACCTGAAAATGTTTTTGTCTATATTTGCACAAAAATTGCATATTATATATTAGAAAAATTCCGAAGGCGAGCCAGGCCTCCACGATGCAGACATGATGGAAAAGCTAACTCGCTAAATGCTCCGTCAAACTGGCGTTACATATAAAGTTTAACTTCAGTCTCATTTTTATTTTTACTAATACTTGATTTCTGCTCAGCATACATAAAACTAGGTCTTACATTTTCAAAGACTGGTCACCACATATTTCTAAATATTTTCGGTCCCACAACTCCTACTTACACAAGTTCTATGATAGTACAGCGACCGGTCGCCTCAAGTAAACTAATTCTAGCTGTTTTATTTGATTACCTTTTAGGACTAATGGTCGATATTGTAAAGTAATTTGAAGTTATCAACCTATGACCCTATAGCTGATGTATTGTTTGATTAATGAGTTTATATTGCAATATATATTATGCTTCCCAAGCGCTGACCAAGTATGTTATACAGAAACAACCATCTTATATATATCGCATGTAAACATTTGATTTTGATGTTGATTTAAAATTCACTAATGGCCAATATATCTATAAATTCAATGAATTAAAAATCACAAATAAAAAGTGACAGACGGCCTTTTCCACATATTTTATGTACATATTATGTATTGTTTGATTTAAAAGGTTGATATAAGATAACATAGTATGATCACCAAACGTCTACCTAGTATGTTTCTTTATAAAGGGAGAACAGTCTTTATTATATCTCTCTAATATATCTACTGTGTGTAGACTTTACAGTAGTGCTGTACAACCTACTACCCGGGGTTGATTTAAAAAGTTGATATAAGATAACATAGTATGCTCACCAAACGTCTACCTAGTATGTTTCTTTATAAAGGGAGAACAGTCTTTATTATATCTCTCTAATATATCTACTGTGTGTAGACTTTACAGCAGTGCTGTACAACCTACTACCCGGGGTTGATTTAATAAGTCGACCGTAAAAGAACAACCATATTTTAAATATTTCATCAACCTCCTGTAACATCAGAAACACAAGAGAGCGATGCTCGAAAATGCTCGAATACGAAGTCAAAAACTAAGAAGTACGGGTTGACAATCTGCCCTTTTTCTGCTCGCTGGTGTGGCGCAAGGTGCGTTTAGAATACGCTCGTCCCACTACCTTTGAATACTTTGCGTATGTTCGCATGTTCGAATCCCATGTGGGGATAATTATGTGCGAGAGGATTGCTGGAATCCTCGCCGCTCAAAGGTGCTTTGCGTAACCCTTAGTCGATTACAGCTTCCTCAATCATCAAGACCATGCTTCCAAAAACAAATAATTGGCAAACTAATCCGATACCCGACATCAACTGGTAACTAACGAGACGAGCTGTGGTTCGTCATAGGATAAAAGCTGCCTCTCCCCCGTGATAAATATGGAAATCCTATCCTACATTCATGTCATATCCTATAACATGAAAATTTAATTTTTTCCTCATCATATTCCGTGTTTATTTATGTTTGTGCCACAATTCATATTATAGAACAGGGATGGCCAACCTTCTATCGATCGCGATTGACTAAATTCTTCAAAATAAATCGCGATCGACTGATCGGTAATAAGGGCCTACATAAAAACGAATGGGAACTGAATGTGCAGATAACTGCACAAACGCATACAAAATATTTGCAAAATCGACACAAAATTTGTATTCTTTATGTTGTTTAAATTGTTGATTTGATTATTTAATTGTACCCGGAGTAACTGTTTCAATATTTATTTAAGATCTATTTAAAGCATGCAATCCAGATAAAAGATGTGCCTAATTTTTAGTCGTAAGTGTGGAAATTTTTTCAAGAAACCTTGTCAAGTATTATCCAAACAGCGAAAAATAAATATTCTCAAACTATGAATGGTACGTGACTGTTCAAACTTCAGTATCTGATTTACAATTTTATCCAAACGCGATTCCTCGATTGCTTACAATTAGAACAAATTGGGCATTTTGATGCCACTGCTACCATTGCAAATAAAATATATATATCACACTTCTCTTGAGTGAGACACACTCAAGTTATTGTAGGATCGTTTGTCAGTCTAGACATGCGATATTTGGCGTTTCATTTTCAAACCTTGGCAGCGGTGAAACTTGCATTTGTTATGTGGTAATATGCTTTATCGATCGAGCCCATACCCAGATACTGTATGTGTATACTGTATTTTGCGCATGTAAAGTACTGTATTCTTCCTGTTGCAAAATACGCAACTGGTTCGAGGCAAATTTTGGGAATATTTCAATAAAATTCACTCAACATCAGACGCGATCGACTGCTCGAGACGTGGCAATCGCGATTGACTTGTTGGCCGTCCCTGTTATAGAATATGGCAGCATTTGTACTAGGCTTACAACATTCATCATGTCTTCTGTTGTCTGAATTGATAGGTAAATATATAAACTATAAATATATATATAAAAGCAAACCTAATACTTGCAAAACAAAATTATCTTCATAAGTTTAAAAATACTGATAAACCAAATATGAATTTGATTATATTTATACAACATACATATTTTACTTTAAGTTGAGTTGCGCGAGACTGATCCTATTGCCCTATCTTTTTTGTATGCCTTTATGCTGATGGATCCGTGTACGTGTATTGCAAAGATGCTGTAGAATAAACTGGCTATTCTATCCAAATCAAGTGTCCAGCTGCACACTAACACAAATATGTTTCTGTAATGGGACCTCCCGAAGTATGTGCACCAAGATGGCGCACAACCTGAACACAGTATTTGTACCAGGTTAAGATTCAGTTTGTGCGCCATATTGGTGCACATACTTCGGGAGCGCCCTTCAATGTTAGTGTGCAGCAGGACGCATTAATTGGATAGAATATACATATATCAGCATGGACTCTCGGAATTGGGTGAAAAGTTGCAGAACCCATTCTGTCCTGGCGGAACTCTACTATGCTGAAAAACCCCGGCTAAAACACTTTTCTATCTCCTATAAATCACCATTCGTTATTCTGTACAAAATTTGATTGCAAATTCTGTCAATGCTCGTTAATTATTATCACCAAAGGGAACACTATTTTTGAAATATGTAACTCATCGCCCCAGGGTTAGAAATATAGCGAGATCAGCTACACGCGACACTGGAATTTAATGCTGCTATTGGGAGAGGTGTTGGGTATGTAGAGTACATGATTGAAAAGTACATACAAGTGTACATACAAGCGTACATTAAGTGTACATACAAGACCCCCAAAAATGGGCGCTCCCGAAGTGCGTGTACCAATATGGAGGAAACTAATTTTGTTCGCCTATTTTACATCAAGTTGAATGAAGGGACTGAAACTTATAGACGGGAGGTATATTCACTTGGCTAGCGCTGACAGTCCCCGTAATTGTAATAAAACTAAAACATGGAAAATTGGAAAATAAATTATGGCCTAACCTTAACCTGATGCTCACACTAAGGGAGTAACCGTTTTTTATCCAATAACTTCAGTTATGTAACAATAACTACCTTATAGCGCTTTCATGGTCGTATTGCCGTAGTAAATTGTTCAAGTATCGCACTTATCGATATTTACTAACGCACAAGTCTATACTTTGATTTCTTGTCGTCTTTGTAGATTTTAAGACACTAGTGGTCGCGAGGAACTTTGCTCAAAGATCAATTACCCTCAATGGACAACACGGCTTACTTATGGGTCTCAGATGTTGTTATTTTAAAATACATACTTGAGTAAATACATATTCTCTGCGTTAGCCAAGTGAATATAACCCCTTTCTATGGGTTTCAGTCCCTTAATAAAAATTGATGTAAAGTAGGCGAACAAAATTAGTTACCTTTATATTGGTACACATACTTCTGGAGCGCCCAAAAAGCTTTTCGAATAACGAAATCGTCTAGGTTCGGCATTGCTTACAAAATTTATTACATTCTGGAAGTTGTTGAGCATGTAGATCGAAACTGCGATACCAGCGTAGTTGGACCCAACATCTAAATTACCACGTCAGTGGTTCTGAAACGGTGGATCGCGCCCCACAAGGGGGGCGTAGTCAACATTTTGAGGGGGCGTGGACTAATAAAAATAATGATATTTATTAGATTCGTTCTTGCCCACCTTATTTTGTATATTTACGATTGTTTATTGCTTACGTTTATTTATTATGTACACGTATTATCAACGTGTTTTTCGAACAAAACATACTTTCTCCTTACCAACTGTTATTTGTAGCTTATTGTTATAGCTAGTTATTTTTGGGGTGAAGCGCGAGACTTGAAAAATTCTAAAAGGGGGCGAGGCCTAAAAAGTTTAAAAACCACTGGGCCATCGCACCGGCTTGAAATAATGGAAAAATGGCAACACGCCCAAACCACTTTTGTTCAAACAGGTCAGTAGTTAATTGAAACTCTTTTCTCAAGTGAGCGATATATCAGATGAAATAACGCTTAGGGTAAGCAGAGAACAACAGCTTGACTTCTAGTTTTAATATTTATACTTTGTCAAAGCCCTAATCAGATCAAAGCCCATGCATTGTAAGTCAGGCGCAGTTTAGTTTTTTACAGCTGGTTTAGGATGGTGAGAGGTTGAGCAGGCACTAGACCAGTGGTCCCAACCTTTTTTCACTTGATGCAAATTTAAAGAAAAAATAGAATTTGTAAAATCTCGCGACCCAAGGATATGCTCAAATGCCAAACGGCATGTAGTACTTTAATGACGGATTAAGTTATATGACTAATATAAAGCAATCATTTTTATAAAACATTTATTTTGATTGAGAATACTGCACTAGGCCATCGTACATGCTTAAAATATTAAATAATTCAAAGCGTGAAATAAATGGCGACACTCCCGAACATCTTTTGTTCACACATGTAACGCTCTATTTCTTGTGTATGGAAATAATACGATCGTTTATTCCCCGTCTCGTAAATAAATGTGCCCCCGTCTCTTGTCAGTCAACGGTTGATTGAAAGTCATTTATCAGGTGAAAGATATATGAGATGCAATGACACTTGGGTTGAGTTGGGAACGACAATTTGTTTCCCTTTTTTAGTATTTTATACTAAATTATATTTAATTAATGCCGAAATCAGAGTAAAGTAAATGCACTGTAAATCAGGCGCGTTTATTTTTCTGACGACCTACTTGTGAGATTGGGTAGGCACTAGGGCAGTATTGTTTCCAAACTTTTTTTTCACGCGACCCAAATTTAGAAAAAAATTGTGGTTATGTAAAATCTCGCGACCCAAGGATATGCTCAAATGCCAAACGGCATGTAGTACTTAAATGACGGATGAAGATATATGACTAATATAAAGCAATCATTTTTATATAACATTTATTTTGTTTGGGAATACTGCACTGGGCCATCGCATGAAATATTAAATTATTCAGCGCGTGAAATAAATGGCGACACGGCCAAACCCCATTTGTTTAGCAGGTCACGGTCTATTCCTTGTTTATGAATATACCACGCTCGCTTATTTCCCGCCTCGTAATTAAATTTGCCCTCGTCTCTATTTAGTCAGCGCCGAATTAATCATTAAACAATATAAGCACGTGCTTAGGGCACCAAGGAAAAGGGGCACCACAGAAATTTTAGAGCAAAATTATATATAGTTTATCGATGTTTATTAAAATATTACAAGTTTACCAGACTTCAAAATGTTCGCTCATTTTTCGTCTTCAAGTATCATATTAATCTTCTGAAAAATAAACATTGAAACTTATTCATTGGACACGAAATGGGCCTATGAGTCGTTTTCTTAAATTGTTGTTGTTTTTGCTTTCTAGTATTCTCCTTGTTGCTGCATTTTTGTTTTGAAAAAATTTCATTTTTTCTCAACATTTGGACCAATGAACTATTTGCACTATGTGGCGGTTCCACGATCACATTTCAACGATCTAGTGGTCAGCGAAGTCGGGAGTTTTTGATAAGGTAGACCAGGGTGGTCCAAACCCTGTCATGCTGATACATTCCGTGCGGCTCACAGAACAATTTTAGCGTATATATATATTTGTATCTACTAGAAAAACGTTTTGAGTTTTTTTTAGCTATTCCACCTGGGGTTAGGATCCCGAGATTCAAATCCTTTTTCCAACGCTTTGTGACTTTATTTTAGTAAAAACACTTCTCTGTTTTCAAGCGTCGACCATGTGACAGTAGTGACGAAACGCAGAGCCGACTTAACGCCGCCCAATCCATTTTTTAGCTGGGTCCCGAAATACCAACTTAGACGTTCTTGGTTGGTATTTGACGATGACACTAAGCTTGCTCACGCTGCAAGTTTTTGAATTACTCAAGTATAACAATTCGTAATAAAATGTGTCACAGGAGAGGTGACATAAGGAAAAATAACTGAAAGATTTATATATCTTCTTTAAATAAACTCTACCTATGCATAGGGTTACCATATTTTTTTGACTTCAAAGCGGGACGCCTTCTGTAACTTTACAGTTTCCGATTTTACTACATAGGCCTACATTTAAGCTATCCCGGCTGTCTTCATTGACCATATTGTCATCGAGATTTCATGCGCATATTCTCTGTCTAAATATCGAGTTCCGATCGAAAAATAGAAAGGAATAGACGCTAACGATACAAAATGATCCGAATTTAGATTTTTTTATGTACAGAAAATAGAATGAAGAATAATGAAATAAGTCTGTCTTTTCCAAGCATTGAGAATTTACTTATTCGGCCAATCATGCTTTTCTGTAGATAAACGTTGTTCAATGTTACATTCACGCGAACGTCCGAACAGGACCAATTAGAATTGATTTTACATGTGATACGTTCGCTAACAATGTTGGCGGGAAACAACGAAACAAACAAAATAACGCACTCGCGATATTTCGATCACTTTTGGGTTTACTCCGACTTGCGGCCCGCGAGACCTCTTCAAAAATTTTTACGGTCCTTCAACCTAGCAACCTTGAACCACTCTAAGTTAGACTACCAGGAACCGGTGAAATTTCAAATTACAGTTGTGACTTGTATGCTTTGGTATTTCGATTCACGTTGAGACTGGAGGCATGAATCTTTATTGTCACACTCCCTCAGGATTAGAGCTCATATAAATTTGAACTGTTTTATTCTGCAACAAGCTTTCACAATCTGAAAATGACTCAAAAATGACTTTAAGCCATAAAGTCCAGATATTTCAGCTCATCCTACCTAATGGTAGAAGCCCTGTCCTGGTCATAAGTCTTATTGATATTCAAATCTTGCACCCGCAGAAAGACGGTTTTATTTATAGGGCATTTGGGTATGTTTGGTATTTTTAACTCTTAGAACCGGAACCTCAACCTGAATCAGAATATAAGCGGTCGAAATTTCATACTCATGGTTATGCTAATCGGATCCTAAATTTGTCACAGAATTTACTACAAATTATTATCATTATTCAGTTCAGTAAAATAGGTAAGTATCAGTTCTAAAGATATCAAAAGGACAATTAAAACCTTACACTGCGAATCTGAACTGGAATAAGAACGGGAATATCTGCGTTTCAACAATACTAAATTGGACACCGACTTATGCACTGTCAAAGCTAGTCAAGAATTTATTAGTGCAGAATTCGAGATTCAAAAAGATTATATTGCAAAACTGGACCAGGTGGTGAGAGATCTGACTGCAAAAAATGAAACCCTACTCAGCATTTGTAACTTCAGCAGCGATTTGATCATGACTTCGAAGACCTCGCGCAATATATGAGAAGAGAAAATCTTGAATTTCATGGAATTCCCTACAAAGATGGTGAAAACACAGATAAAATAGTTGTGGGAATAGGGAAAAAACTGGGCATAACTGTTGAAAGGCTGGACATTTCAGTTTCGCATCGTCTTCCAAGGAGAGACTCGTCCAAAACTGGGCCCATCATTGTGCGTTTCACCAACAGAAATAAAAAGAATGAGTTTATAGCCAAAAAGTATGACGCGTCACGAATCAAAGACTTTGGGATTACAGGTATGACCTAACTTTACATAAACGAAAACCTCACTAATTTCAGGAACAATCTTCTTTATAACTCGAGACTAATAAAAAAGTCTAAAATGTTTGAGAGACTATGGACAACCAATGGCAACATTTATTTGAAGAAATCTAAAGATAGTCCTAGAATATCAATTACCAAGCTCTCAGATTTGGATAAATTATCCTAAATTAAGTATTGATATATTTGTGTAGCCTACTGGACCTGTAAAATGGCTGCCCAGCAGTATTGCTTCAACTGTTTTACAAGTAATAGTAGTCTTTGCAGTGCTTGTTTGAAATCAATTTTTCCATTTTATAGCCGCCCATATATAACAGACAATGAATTAGAACCTCTTGATACTACTGATTTCAATTTTGAGAATGTTAAACCCTGCTTATCACTTGAGACTATTGAAAATGTATATAACACCTTAGGCTCTTCGGGTATACCTGATAAGCGATTTACTTTGGCACATTTCAACATTCGGTCTTTACAAAAGCATAACGATGAACTGTCGAACATTATATCTGATCTAAATTCAATTCCTACAGTAATAGCACTTTCTGAAACTAAACTTAAAGCAGACCCAATTGTTAATATAGATATTGAAGGTTATGATTTTTTCCATGCACCAACCAAAACTCATGCTGGTGGAGTCGGATTGTATATTAAGTCTCATCTCAATTCTTTAATGGTGCCTAAATATAAGCTAAATGTCAACTCATGTGAAGAGCTTTGGGTTGAAATACCTATTCATTTTGAAAAGTTTTCTTCCATTGTTATTGGTATTGTTTATCGCCACCCAGGATCCAATGAATCTGATTTCATGAGCGAACTTAGCAACACGCTTCAGAATTTGGCATTCGATAAAAAGAAATTCATTATACTAGGTGACATTAATATTAATTTATTAAGCTTCCCAACATTCACAAGAGGTTTTCTTGAAATGTTGATGTCTCATGCCACTATTCCAGTAATAACCCTCCCGACAAGAGTAACTAGTTCAAGTGCTAATTTAATAGACCATATTTATTCCAACATATCTGAAAAATGTGTTTCGTCTTTAGTTTGGCAAAATTGTATGACAGATCATTATCCTATTTTTTGTCAAATTCAACTTAGTCATGCATCTTCCCACTTTCAACATAAATTAAAACGTGACATGAGAAATTTTAATAGTGTTAACTTTGTTCAAGACGCCCTGAATGTTTTTACCTCTTATGACCTTTTTAATGTTAATCCTGAAAATTTTAATCTTCATTTCAGTGATTTCATTTCTAAAGTTTTAAGTGTATTTGACAACCATGCACCACTAAGAAACCTTACCAGAAAGGAACGTCAATTAGAGAGAAAGCCCTGGATATCAGCTGGCATCTTGCGCTCAACCAAAATAAGAGATAAATTGCATAAAACGCACTTTATTAACGGATCCATTGAACAAAAACAGCACTATAAAAGATACGCAAACAAATTATGCCACTTGAAAAAGAAAGCCAAAGAGATATATTTTGCGAAACGCTTTGAAAAAAATATAAATGACCCAAAAAAGACTTGGTATACAATTAATTCATTAATAAATCCAAAAACTAATAATAATGTTACGCAAAGATTAATTGACCAGCACTCATGGGAGGTTGTTCATGATAGTGCTAAAATTTCATATATGTTCAATAGCTCATTTTCTCAGATTGGACAAACCTTATCTTCTGCTTTTCACAATGTAAGTGATCATGATCACCTGAAATTCATGAGTGCTCCAAATAAGTCGTCCATGTTCATGAAAGATGCCTGATTAAATGAAGTAGTAAACATTATTAATTCTTTAAAAACAAACAAAGCAACTGGATACGATCAATTACCAGCTTATCTCATAAAACTTCTCTGCAGTACAATAAGTCCCATACTCTGTAAACTCTTCAATTACTCTGTGCTTTATGGTGTATTTCCAGACCATCTTAAAGTTGCCAGAGTTGTTCCTGTATATAAATCTGGAAAAAAGGACGAGGTATCCAATTATCGACCCATTTCCATACTGTCATGTCGCCTTCAAAATTTTCTTAATAAACATTGTATTATTAATAGCGATCAATTTGGCTTTCGAAATCAACATTCAACATCACATGCAATTCTAGATATTATTAGTAAATATTATGAAATCATAGATAAGGGCTTGGTTGGCTGTAGTATATTTTTGGACTTAAAAAAAGCATTCGACACAGTTGATCACAAAATACTTATTAGCAAATTGCAACATTATGGAATTCGCGGCACTGTCAGTAAATTGTTTTCTAGTTACCTGCGCAATCGCTATCAATTTGTCTCATTCTCTGCCAATGAATCACCTCATGAACTTGTTTCTGTCGGCGTGCCCCAGGGCTCAGTTCTTGGCCCGACTCTGTTCCTTGTTTATATTAATGATGTGGTGAACACTACTTCAGCAATTGTCAAACTTTTTGCTGACGACACGAGCACAACGTCAATATCCTCCAGTGTTACTGGAGCTGTTGGAGTAATGACAAGACTAAAAAGGTTGATTCCTAAAAAAATCATGTGCACTGTTTATTTCTCTCTCTTTTTTTCTCACTTACAGTATAGAATAGTGGCATGGGGTTCCGCAAATAAGATTAGACTTAATGCTCTTTCCATTCTACAAAATAGAGCTCTTCGAGTTATGACTAATACTCCCTTGCGTCATAGTATGAGCCCCATTTACAAGAGTTTGTATATTCTAAAAATAAACGATGTATTTATTTATGAAGTTGCTAAATTGATGTACCAATTCAGACATAATATGTTACCAGAGGCATTTATTTCGTATTTTACCGACTGCAGTTCTGTGCATTCTTATAACACTCGCTCTGCTTCTAAGAGTGCATTTTTTATTACTCGAACAAATTCATTCACCATTTTAAATTGGATACTGATGTGGATATGTGTATAAATTGTTATTTATACCTGGTACACACACTTTGCAAATACTTGTGCTAATCTGCTTACATTTTCATTTTTTATCAAAATTCTGAAGCCCACATACCTAAACTGTGAACAATAACTTACCACATATTCTCGTTTATACGACGGTCGTGTATATAAGCCAACTCCATGAAAAACTGTTTTGAAACTGCGATTTTATAAAAATCACATATAAGCCGACCCTACGATTCACAGTTAAGTTCGCCCTCATCGCGGTGTTGTTGTTTTCTCAAGAAAATATTCAAACGAATTTAGCGCTTTGCACGTGTTGAAATGACGTCGATAAATAAATTGGCACTTTGATTGTTTATCTTCTGTGCGACCCTGTGCCTCATACTGCTGCGACACATTTGCATGGTTCATGGTGGACTTTGCCGCCATTCTCTTGCAAGGCTTCTTATTTTATATTTATTTTCCATTACGTCGCAAAACTTGAAATTATGTTGTTATAAGTTGTATCTCTATCCCATAGAATGTAATAAGCCATTTCATGTATGGTCATGACTGAACAATATTATCGGTAACAACATTTAAAGTGTGCTTTTTAAAGTTACACCAGGAGAAAACGGCAGAAAATGCTAGTTGTATAATAGAATCGAGTTGTATATCTGTCAGTAGAATGTAATAAGCCATTTCATGTATAGTATATTCACAGTTTTCTTTCAACATTTATTTTCTTATTATTGCATGTTTACCAATTATGGTGTTAACATAGTGACTACCTCACATATGACTTTCACTTGTATTATATACATGTGTATGTTTGCAACCTTGTAATTATACTGCTTTGAATTGTGCCTTAAAATTAGTAGATCAAGCACTCCCATTGTGTACATTCAAATATTTGTTTTATTATGCTTATAAACTATTCTAACCGGGTTATTTTAATGTATACCGCAAAATCTTTTCATTTTACAATTGATCTTTGTAATTACTTCATTCTAATAATTCTAAGTAATCATATGCTTTCGTCGCTCTTTATTTATGAATCATACTGTTGGAGTATAATAATACCATGTACATTTGTTATATATATTCTTTTGTTGATTCTTATGAAAATGATATACAAAATATGTGAAAGGTGCTAATCTTATTGTAGTCCTGAATATAGTACATATTTAGCTACAATGTGATATATCATATCACCCATTTCATATCATCCAATTGTGTTTCATACTACAATGGCTTGAAACTAGACTGCCCTGGGTCATAATTTTAGTTTATATTATAATGTAGTTGTGTACATTATGTTCTTCTGATTGTGACATACAATAGTTTGACTATTCCTTCCCCTAGTTTGCCATATATGTATAACTAATAACCCAATATTGCTCATCTTAATTGCAATTTAGATACAAAGGATAGGAGGGCCTTGATCTAATATATATATTTATGTAGTATTATACTGTGTATTGAATTTAATGTGATCAATATTCTTTTAATTAATGTGCATAGTGATATAGACAAATTTGCTAATTGTTCAGAATCTCTAAAAGTTTAAACCTCGTGTATGCAATAAATTACTACAAGACGAAATATATTTTGGGCTATCGTGATTTAATTTGACCCAGCCTTGTCAAAATTTATTCAATATCACATATCTATTTCAACTCATAGTCATATTTGTCTATTTCTAAATTATTTGTGGAGGGTTGCAATACCAATCTGATTGTTTCCCATCTTAATACCTGTTCTGCGTTGTAATGTGTAAATCTCGCAGAAGTTCCATATGCATCCTGCTTTTTTTCTTCACCCTAATGAATTGAAAATATAAAATTGTACTACTGTTATGCCTATATTTCATATCTCAATCTATGGTTTTCTTCACACAACACATTATTGTCACTCATAGAACCTTCAATTTCCCTGTGATCATATCCCTCATATTTTATCATGTGTAAGCACAAAAGAAGATTCAGAACAGGTTGAAAGTGTAAATTAATATAATAAATAATAATAAATTTGGTATGGAATTCTTATTTTTTGCTCCTCTCTATTTAAAATTTATTTAATAACTTCCTAATCAATTAAAAAATTTTCTCATCTCTAATTAAATATCATTTTTTTTACATAGTGTTTATAGTTTTTTTTCCATATGTATATCCTGAGAGTGTAATATTACAGAACCTGTGTTATTAATTTATTTTTTCATGTGCTTGCTTTGGGTGGTAACCGACTCAGATGACTGTTAATGGTCGTATCGTTACCACCCTGTCATCTACCGAAATCTAATTTTTCTCATTTTGCTATCATATATATATTGTATGTGTTTTCTGGTTTGACGAAACAATAAAAAATTCTCTCTCTCTCTCTGACTTAGCAATTAAAAAATTCAGATCCTCCCTCAAATATTGAAATGAAATAAATCAGATCTCAGTTGATATCATGGAATGGGTGCTGAAACCTTTCTATAAATTTACAACAATTGTAAACTGCTGTAAACGAAACGTTACAGAAATACATTTGTGTTAGTGTGCAGCTGGACTCTTTAATTGAATAGAATAGTCATGTTTATTCCAGCTACAGTATCCTTGCAGTATACGCATACGGATCCACTAGCATAAAGGTATAGAGAAAAGATAGGAAGTTAGTCTCGCGCAACCCAACTCAAATTTATTTTTATTAAGTCAGTTGGAAAACGTGTGTGATTTTTACGTGTGGGATTTTAACCCATTCTGCCAGCCTAAAAATCTTCACAGAGGTTTGCGGAACCGATTGAATACCGGAACTCCGGAACTGATACCGTACCGTACCGTACCGGTACCGGTATACACACAGAGAGAACAAATCAAAAATATGCCACTAAATGAATGTTTAAAAATGTTACACTGTAAGTTACACTGCAAACTATTTACACATATATAGTTGAATACTCAGTATTCAAGCGGAATTTCTAGAAATAGCAGTATATCATACTCTTTGTCACAAAATAAAATATCTGAATCAATCCCTGTTGTATTCATCTTTCGATTCTGTTATGATGTCCGTATGTTGCCTTTATGCTGCCATGTAATTTCATATTTCGGCCTTTACTTGTTGATATTCCTTAAGTGCTGGTTCATTGTTGTCAATCTAATCTTTCTGCGCCGTTCAAAAATGCGACCGCACCCGACGACTGCCAAACACAAACTTTAAATCCAATCTTTTATCCATAAACTTCTTTAATTCCGGTGGATGGGCCTTGATCATGTTGATATCACGAGATACACAGCGTGTAGCATTCTCAGTCCAACAGCATTGGGTGACGCAAAACAAAACCGTTATTTCTACCCCATGTTCGTTGATTTAACTAAAAATGTCATAGAAGTGTACGGTACCTGTACCAGTACGGTAATACTTTTTCAAGATAGCTACAGGTCCGTTCCGTAGCTTTCTACGTTTAGACGGATATTCCATCTCGTTCAGGCAATTCATGTGTGTTCCGGTAACTACAGGAACCTATTTTTTAGCACTGTCCTACTAAAGTTTGCTGTTTTAACTTGAAAATCGCCTAGAGGTACGGTACTGTTTTAACAATGTTGGCCACGTCAATGTATCAATTAGGCTACAGACCTGCTCACGTGTGATTAGTGTTTTTCCTAATAATTGCTTTTATGAGTGTCCGCACACCGAATTTGCCGCCATGGTTTTGCGTTTGTTTGTATATTAAACCACTTATCACCTTTTCCGCAATGCCCAATCTAGCAATCAGTGTAGTTTTTCATGGCTTGGTTTTTCTTAAAGCTTTCATGGCTTCATGAGTATGACTATCGTCGCAAATTTATTACATTCCACTCCCCACATTATCTTTGCATGAGGTTGTAGGTATTGGTCATTATCAACGTAATTGTTGAAAGAATGTACAACAGCCCGAAAGTTTATTACTATCGTGTATTTTGTTTTTTAAGTTTGGCCCAAGCCTCATTTAATTGGGCTTGTGTTTTTGTGTGCGTGCTGGTGGGCAGGCACATGAGATACTTCATGTTTTAAACTTTTTTGTAGGTTTTGCTTGCCCTCCAGAATTCTCCATTTTAAATTTAGGTTTGTTATGGAGTTTTCGAAATAAACTATCTATCTATCTGTACCGTAGTGGATTTATTATTAGTAATAACCAAATAAATGAGGAAATTTTTGTTAGATTGTTATGAAAAATAGTTTGGATTCTATATACAGATATCTGGATATACGCCTAAGAAACTTAGCAGTTTGTATTTAAACTTTAAAACGCGGGCATTTTGGTGTCAAAATCACAATATGAATGAGCCAGAATTGATGTATTTTTATTGCGCAATAAATATTAACCATAAACTGATAACCGAAAGCACGGTGTGATACAACTTGTTAATAATCGCAAATCACAAGACTGCAAGAGGTTAAAAATTACAATATAGCCAATTATTGTGAAATATATGTGCGTGCATGTCTGTAATCGGGTCTAGTATAGTTTAGTACCACAAGTACTTGCAGTGGGCGTAGCATAACGAGTTTTGTATATGTTATTCCTAACCCCCACCTGACTATGCCATCCAAAAATTAC